GGTTTTCAAATATCATTTTCTTTAATTGGTTTTGTTGGAAAACTTAGTGAATTTTATAATAGAAAACTAATTGTTGATGAAGATATAAATATTGAATTATATGAATTATCAGATATACTTGATATAGCAACATATGATCATAAAATATATCCAACATATCGTATTGAATATTTTGAACAATTACGTGAACATATTTATTCAATAGCTGGTTATGTTGCACGTTCAAAAAAAACAAATTCAATTTTAGGTTATGTTATTTTAAATTTTAGTCAACAATTTATTAAATGTGGACCATTATATGCTGATAATATAAATATAGCATTATTATTATTAAAACAATGTGCTTCTGATTATGATGGATTTATGTTAATATCATTACCTTATTTTAATAAACAAGCTATTCAAATATTTAAATCAAAACATTTTAAACAAACAGATATTATTCATAGAGTTTATAAAGGAAATCAAATTTTTTTAAATCAATTTATTTTTCAACAAGTATTTGCTATTACTGATGATTGGTTTTCATTAATTTAAATCATCTCTTTTTGCTTTTTTTTTATTTTATTTTATTATTCATTCATTATTTGTAAATTCTAATCAAATTCAATTTTATTCATTTTATATCGATAATCGACTTTTACAAATAATTTAAATAAAATTTTTAATTTAATTTTATATAATTTAACAATATATATGAAGATTATTATTGAATTTAATCAATCAATTTCGTTTTATTATTAAATATGATTGTTTTATCTATATTTTAAATTTCAATATTATATAGAAAAGAATTTTAAATAAAATAAACTCTTTTGTTTTTTTGTGCTCTTTGTCCATCGACGAATTCTTCGACAATAAACGATCAAAATTAAAATAATAGATCAACTATTTTATCTTAATATCGTTTCATAATAAATCTTAATAATTCATTCATTCATTCTATAATTAGACAACACAACTATTCAGTATTTTTTTCAATATGGAATAATAAGAAAAAAAAACTCTGTGTTTTGTTTTCAACAAATGATTAATCTAAAAATGAAAGCGCTTGACGAACAATATGTTTACATAAGTTAATGTTTTCAATAAATAAATCTAATTAATCAACAGAAGACATTGATATAATCAGTGTTGTGTCATATTACTATTTAAATCATATTATTTATATTTGCTAGTCTAATCAAACTGAGGATAGAAATTCTTAACATTAACAACATCTAAAACGGTTCACCTCACCATTAAATACTCAGTTTGAAACCAAAATCGAAGTACTAGAACGAGCCTCTTAACAAATCACCACAAATCTTAACTCAACGATAGAACTTCGTGTTTTTTTTTCTTAATGACACTAATTATATTGATTCTCATTTATCTTCGAAGTTTATTCTCATTTAATTATTCAACAAGATAATCATCGTTTGATCGAATTAATCATAAAAAAAAATCTCGATTTATTTAAACGATTATTTTATTATATAAGAATATTAGTCGAAACTAATCGATGATAGATTATTTTATTTGAATATATTCTAAGATAACGAAGATGAATAACAACAGAGCCAATCAACTGATAAATCTTATTCAAGCAATAAATAATTGAAATTATTTATATTTATTTATCTGGGGGTGACAAATTTGACTGATATCCCACTATTAATTTTTTCATTCACACAGTAGAAAAATTTGATTTTTTTACCACTTATACTACATGTTTAATGCTATTCATCTACACTATTTGAAATCTATATATCACTACAAATGAGAATTATTAAGTGCATCTTTTATTTATTGTGCTAAACGTGCTTCACATCATATTTGTTTACATATTATGGTCGGTATATTTATCCATTCTATTCTAGTGATATATTCAATTTTAGTCATTCTTGTTCTTGTTGTATTTTTCTCGCGTTCCTTTATTTTTCGTTCTCTCTAACACACTTTCTATCGATAATAAATACATACTACACTTGAATTATGTTTTCTTCACAAATTGAATGGCATTGTACTCAATGCGAATCTGGTCCAACTGATCGTCGAAAATATTGTGCTGATTGCGATTCGATGCTAACTTGGACATGTACTGGTTCGCAAAAATCTGGTTTGTACACCAATTATTATCGTCATCGTGACAACTGTGATTATTGTACACCAGAACTTGAAGAAGAAAGACAAAAAAATATGGAAGAGAAGAAAGTTGCTATTCAAGAACATTTTCAAATTTTAGATGATAGTAAGTACAGCAGCTGTTTACGATTTATGCATGCACCTCTTAGCTCATTATCTACATCTACACTAGTAGTCAAAATAAATCATTATGAGGCACTTTTTTATATATTTTAGATCAACGTCCATGGTCAGAATGGAAACGTACTGATGCATCTTGCATACAGCATACTGGGCACGACGTTGAACAAGTACAAGAATTATATTCTATGTGTGAAGAATCATTAGTAAATTATTGTTCCCATAGAAACAAGTTACATTGGAACAATACCAACACATCCTATTTGTCTTCAATGAATTTGCTTGTGGTTACATTATGGTATTTAAAACATTATCATTCTGAACGCTACATTGCTTCAGAATTGAATCTTAGTCAACAAGTGGTGAATTATTTCTTATCAGCAGTAGTGGATATTTTATATTCGTGTGTATATCAAGCATTCCTTTCTTTACCTGCTGATCTAGTTAACAGAAGAACACCACATGGACCTCAACAACATCATAAATTAATTGTTGACTCGACTTTTATTGCAATTCCTGAACCGCATGATTCAGAAAAACGTAAAGAATATTATCATGCAAAATGTCCAATAAATTATGCAATAAAAGTTCAAATAGCTTGTGATTTTCGTCATCAAATAGTACATGTATCTTAATGGTACCATGGAAGTATACATGATATTACAGTTCTTCGAGAATCAGATCTATTAGAACCTGTTGAAGAATCTGTACAAATTATTGGTGACAAGGGGTATATCGGTGAAGAATATGTAGTAACTCCAAGAAAGAAACCTCGTGGACGTGAATTAACACAAGAAGATAAAGATTTCAATCGTGATATTAATAGTGCGAGAGCGGCGATTGAAAATATTAATCAACGTCTTAAAACGTATTCTATTCTTGGTGGTGTTTACAGAGGACCTGTTGATGATTTTCATAAAATAACTAAAATCATACAAGTCGTTGCTGCTTTATGTAATTTGAACTTGAATAAACATTTTATTCGTAGATAAATAACATGATAAATTGTATTATCTTATTAATTGTTTGAAAATAAAGCTATATACTCATCTTTGGTTTTGTTTCAGACCTCTTGGTAGGGATGATATAGGTTAACATAGATGACGTGAAGCACGTTTAGCACAATAAATAAAAGATGCACTTAATAATTCTCATTTCTAGTGATATATAGATTTCAAATAGTGTAGATGAATAGCATTATACATGTAGTATAAGTAGTACAAAAATCAGATTTTTCTATTGTGTGAATGAAAAAATTAATAGTGGGGTATCAGTCAAATCTGTCACCCCCATCTTATCGACAATAATCATAGCGTCGATCAGATTCAAATATTTTATTGATCAAATAATAAAGGCTTAATTAATTAATTAATTAATTCATATTCTATATTATTAAATCGATATGAGAAAAAAACCAATCGTCTCTAGAAATCGATCTCATCTATTTATTTCACTGTCATTCATTAACCAAACAAAACATTAGTTTTAGTTTATATACCTGGTCTAACAAAACTATAAATTTAATTTATTTCATAGAATTATTTCGATATCTCTTCAAGATCAAACAGTTCATATTGACTGACAACTACTAAATCTTATTATCAATTATATACAGATAGCCCAAAAAGTATTGGGACACCCTTATGTCCTCTCGTATTTCGTTATTTGTGCGATAGGAACCAGAAATCTTTTACCAGTAGATAGTGCCGACTTCGTACTACATTTCCTATAAAAATCGGCAAATAAGTCAATGATTTCGAATGACAGGAACGTTTCTCATGAAAATATCAGATTTTTCAATATTAATACAATGGTACAAGTAAGAGATGACAATAATCTTTTTCAAAAGTACTCTCAAAATATACCGCTAGAATGCCCGTCAAAAACTGTACAAAAGTGAATGTTTTAAAAGATTTTCACTGTTAAACTTAAAATCAACAGAGGAATATTATATTTGAATACTAATATTATACGTAGTCCTTGAACGAATACACAACTACCTTCATAAGGAAAGTTAGTGCAAGGCCATATTTTCTAAAGAATATGATAAAGAAAACAATTCTCTACAAACTGATATATTAATAAGCAATGTATCTTTATAAATATAATAATTCTAATAAAATGAAAAACAACATGAATGATCAACTAAATCAAATATTGATTTAATACATTTATTTGTATTTATTTTCAATAGCTACAAATGCCAATACAAGTCAAGCTATATGAAATATAATAATTTTTTAATTGTAAATAATCATAATGTTGAATTTTCGGCCATTGCGAGGTCATCCTCGGAACGTATTTTGATGAAAAAAATAATATTAAAGATGTATTAAATCAATATTTGATTTAGTTGATCATTCATGTTGTTTTTCATTTTATTAGAATTATTATATTTATAAAGATACATTGCTTATTAATATATCAGTTTGTAGAGAATTGTTTTCTTTATCATATTCTTTAGAAAATATGGCCTTGCACTAACTTTCCTTATGAAGGTAGTTGTGTATTCGTTCAAGGACTACGTATAATATTAGTATTCAAATATAATATTCCTCTGTTGATTTTAAGTTTAACAGTGAAAATCTTTTAAAACATTCACTTTTGTACAGTTTTTGACGGGCATTCTAGCGGTATATTTTGAGAGTACTTTTGAAAAAGATTATTGTCATCTCTTACTTGTACCATTGTATTAATATTGAAAAATCTGATATTTTCATGAGAAACGTTCCTGTCATTCGAAATCATTGACTTATTTGCCGATTTTTATAGGAAATGTAGTACGAAGTCGGCACTATCTACTGGTAAAAGATTTCTGGTTCCTATCGCACAAATAACGAAATACGAGAGGACATAAGGGTGTCCCAATACTTTTTGGACTATCTGTATATATACATATATATATAAAATCTAAATGCTTTTATTCCTCCTGTTACACCAGCTAATGTCGAATTTTCAACATCAAAACCAGTGAAATTTGGCAAAGTTGTTCGAAATCATGTAGATAAACATCAACAAGCAGAAAAATGAAAGAAATCAACATGTTGAAAAGGAAAAGCTAATCGAAAAACAAGAAAATAAGGGGAAAAACGAATAAAAACCTAATATAATCTCTTCATAAAACAAGCTACACTACAAGTTAAAGTAGAAAATCTAACCACGATACATGAAAAGCATTTAAAAGGGTTGATCATCATTGGTCGACATCGTTAGAAGTTCTAGTGAATAAATAACATAAACGATACGAAATTTTAAAGTAGTTTCTTGTGTTTTTGATCATGAATCATAAAATAAATTTTCTTCAATCAATGTAGACGAGTTCGCCGTATAAATGCATCAGTAGGAGCAAAATGTTGAGGATGAAGATGACGTACAGGACGAAAGACAAAATATATGAACACTAGTGCAACACCAATCAAGTAGACAATACACATACACTAAATAGAATAAACCATTGACTACGTAAAAAAAATTCTAATGACGATGCGTTGGAATTTTTAAAAAATCTTACTTAGTGTTCTTTCATTGCATAATGAAAATCTATATATCCGTACGTTTGGTTATTAGGATATCGATCCATTCTTAACAAGATATATTTTTATCTTTTGATTGACTTCTGACGAACACGTCGTACTGTTGTGCGGCATGTTTATCATATTATTTTTCTTGTGATTGCACAAAGGAGAGAAATGAAAAAAAGAAAATTTGCCTAGATATTATTATATGATTGTACGTTGATATTGATTTCTCCATTTGATGAACTACTTTCACCAGTTGAATCAGCTTGATACGAAGTTTGAATTCAACGAACTGTTATTATCGAAATATAATAAAATAATTAATTAAATTAATTTTTTTTTTGTTATTTCCTGACAATTCTATCCTCTCGATCCGTTTCGTGCTAATGTTTTATTATCATCTTATGGATAAATTATTTCATTGATTTCTATAGAATTTAAGAATATGATAAGTTGCTTTGTATTTAAATAAAAATTTTTATTTTTATTTAATTCGAAAACAAAAATTCAATTAATACGAATCATAAATCATTTGTCAAATGTTGGCTCCATGTTTCATTTAAATGACATGAATATCGAAAATCTTCTCTTTGTCGATTATTGACTCGTATTTAACCCTTTCGTTACCGCATCACATCTCGTTAGAGAGCTGCGGGTCCTTCCAGACCCGGACCCGGACCCGGACCCGGGTTCGACCGGGTCCAGGTCCAGGTCCGGGTCCGGGTCTGAAAATTTAGCTTTTACCGGGCCCGGGTCCGGGTCCGGGTCTAAACCTAAGAGGAAAGTCAGACCCGGTCTGCATTAAGTTATGAATGGAAATATATAACAATAACAATTGAAGTTAACAAAATTGAAAAAGAAACAGTCAGAAATAATTTTACACTCATTTGACCTTTAAAGTCTCCAATGAAGAGCTAAAATTGTGTTCCCTTTTCTGTTCATGTACACATAGGGTGTCAAATATTGGTGAAAAGAGGATCGGGTCTGAGTCTAGACGCAGCCGGGTCCGGGTCCAAAAAAACATGGACCCGCAGCTCTCTACATCTCGTAGATGAAATATAGAACGAAAAGAAATATTTTGCGTTCTGTCGTCTTCTTAGACGACGAATACCATATGACAAGTTGAAAGGAAAATGAATTCGTATGGCTATGAATAATGAATCTGGATTTCGAACACATATGATTGTGATAGCTGAACACAAGAGAAAGAGATTAAATTATCTTTTTTTCCTGCTCGTGCAGAACGCAAGAAAATGTTGGTATTGAAAGGGTTAAACGAATAATTAATGTTACTGTTCGACCAGAAAATGATCTTTAAAAAAAAAGAAAAAATTTATTTACTGAATAGGTTTTCTAAGAATTATTTTATGTTGACATAGGTTAAATACATCTTTGTTTATGATAAGACAGATAACATTCACCTATAGATTTTCTTAATAGAATTAAAATACCTATTATTAATTAAATTTTTCTTGATATGTTCTTCGATTTGATTTTGTTTTAATACAATCATAAACTATTTTTATATGTTGAGAAAACATTCAAGAATAAATGTTTGATGTGTACGTTTAATATAATTTTTTAATTGTGTACTTATATTCAAATAAATATATTTTATTAATTGAATAGCACGATCAGCACGACCTCATCTCAACCTTTTTATATTAATCTCTTTAAATATTCAAGACCAATAAGATTTTCATCATTAATTAAACGAATTGAAAGATATTTGTCTATGAATTTATTTGATTAAATATTAACAGATTTCAAAAAACGATCGAAACAACTAAAGATTTTAATAAGATTTCTCATTGTTGACTTTCAATGAACAACAATAGTTTATAGATCGATAATTTCGAACTTTGAATATTGATGAAATTTAGAGACAATACCCTAGAGAAAGTACTGAGTTCAGGGTACCCATGTACTGAGAAAGCCTCAGCAGGGTACCCGATATGGGTACTTCGAAAATTTTCAGTAATTATACTGACGTAGGTGCTGCATTGGGTACCCATTGCAGTATGTTTACTGAACAAGTACTTGCATGAACACCCGCACCTGTAATTTTACTAGGAAAAGCTCTACAGGGTACCCTAGATTTGTTGCGTTCTCTGTAGCAACTGTTCATTCACCGTTTTCTTTTGCATATACGGCTTCATATAAGCAACTCGAGGAAGCATAAGAAAAAAATATTTTTTCATACTAATTTTTTCTAGATTATTTTTCTTGACTATTTACTAGTCGAGGACATGCTGATCTCAATCGTAGATTGAGAGAGGACTACCTTGAAGTGGTCTGATGGCGATCCGACCAATTCGCGTCCAATCAGATCTCGAAATTTGACCTGCTTGGCTTTTCAGAATTAGAAAAATAAAATAAAATAAAGTCGAGAAAATATCATAAATTGCTTTGAGAGAAACAAAAATGAAAAAAAGCCAGAGGTTAGTTTCGATCATCAACATACTGCAAGTTTG